TCATAAAATAATGTACACATGTTATTGTCAATAGAATTCTCTATTAAATATTACTTCTCTGTTCTTTCAATTACATCAAAGCTGAAATAGAATGCAGTGTTGATGAATATCATCAAATAGAATAGAAGTTGAAACAAACAAGTATAGTGCATTCAATTTTTATTAAAAGTCGGGTGAATGTGGATGCTAAGATTAGATTTTGCTATAAGAATGGAATTGGAGCTGAAATAATGAGTATAAGACATCTAGTTATTATCAAAACTTACCAATAAATAATGATAGTAACGAGATTGAATCTAATAATAATAGTAATGAGATTATTATATATAAAATAAATAATAGTAGAAGGGAAAAGAAAAAGAGTAGAGTGTTGGTTAGCATTTGTATGAATCTTATTTTTTTTTGTTCTAACCAGATTCTCATCAGTGTTTGAAATTAGTGTTCTCAGCGTTCTCAAAACACTACTATATATAAATTCGTGCACAGTATAAATTTTTTACTATTCACTATTAAGTATACGTATAATAAATAGCTGCAATTTGATGTATATGTATTATATTTAATTAGTATGTATTGGTACGTACGCATAAATCGTATGTTTAGCACAAATTTTATGCTGAAAATTTATACATACTATTTTTATCCTCAATAAATACAGTACATATTGTTAGTTGCTGTTTTTTTTTTTTTGTGAAAATAAAATATTAGTTTGAGAACACCTATAGTTAGTATACTGTTTTAGTATTGAGATTTGAAATTTTAAACACTTATTCTCATAAATCCTCTATGTAGTTGTGGTCTGGCCCAAAAAATTAAATATCTGAAATCTCCAACACTTATCCTCATAGATCCTCTAGTCATGGTCTGGCCCAAAGAATTAAATGCCTAAAATGGATGATATTGAAATTTGGTGTCTTGTTTATCTGTTATGCTCCAATACTATATACTCTATTTTCTAAAAAGTTGGGTCGGCAGGTAATGCAAAAAGAAAAATTAATTTTGTAGTCTTAGATTAAGATCAAAATTTCATCAAAATTAGATCTTGTGGCGCAGATATTCTGCACAAATCAGATTTTAGAATTTTATATATAAGAAATTATTATTGATCAGTGATGCTTTTTTCTTGAACAATTTTTACTTTACATGTACGCGTAAAATCTAACTCTAACTTTTTTTTTGCTTTTAAAATCATGGTTTATTGAAGTACATATACACTTTAAGGTATTATTTTGACAATATTAACTTATTATATATATAGTTCAAACATATATACTTCAACATCTATTAAAGTTTATACAAAATATCTTAATCATGAGTGAATTCTTCAAGAACTTGTTCTGGAATTCGATGATAAGAATGATACTTCTTTATAGCATAGTCAGCAGCCTTTTCAGAAAGTCCAAGTTCATAGACACTCATAAAGCATTCAGAACAGTGAGCAAAGTGGCAAATTTTTAATAAGCCAACAGAATTTAATGCCTTTGGAACAGTTTTTTTGAGGCCTTTAAAACTATAATTACAGTAAAGTCTTGTATAATATTTCACCTCAGCCCAAACAGACTTAATGTAATTAAATTCACAATGAAACTTAGGGTAAAAGATGCATATATGGCTGGCATCTTCAATTACCTAAATTATTATATATGTAAGTAATAGTTTTTAAATAATTTTTCTTTTTTTTAAAAAAAAATCAACCTTATTTACCTCTCATAAGTGTGATCTTTGAGATGCAAAGTCAGATTGAGCTGAAAGAATATGCGAAGTGCAACAGTTTAGATTGGTTGGATCAGGCTTATTTTTTTTACAAGTATTACACTTTTTTATAAGGTCTGGTATCCATAAACCTCTTTCTTCAAGAGCCCGTCTAATTCCCTTAGGCTTTAATACACCATTACTGTTTCTATAGGTCATTACATACTCGGAACCATCACGATATTTACTAGTACAAAGAAGTAGTTTTTTTGTACCATCTTTCATACCCATTTGCAAGACTAAAAGAGCATCTTCAGCAAATGAACCATGATTGCTACTATTATCAAACATGAATAGTGCTATCTTGTTGGGGTGTGTTCATTCAAATATTGGTATAGCATATAAAGCTATCTGATTAACTAAATCATCACATGTTCACCAACTATCATGATTTATGCCTAGATAGATGGCAACACCTGCTTCGGTATATTTAAAACATATAGAATCAGGAAGTAAGTCATTTATAGCAATTTCATAGTCTGAAAGTTTGAGACGCCTAATAGTTTCATACACAAAATCGCTAATGTAAATACTGAGGCCCTGTAATTAAGGATAGGAATTAAAAATTAGTCAAAAAATGTTTTTATCTAACTTACTAAATATTAGAAATACTGTAGTGTACTAACTAAAAGACCTGGGGTCTAATACAAAACACCCAACAAAAAACTTACAAAAGACCCAGATATATTATACAGCAGCAGGTCAATATTGCAAGCCTATATTTAATTAATAGAGGTTTTGTGTTTTGCACCGGGTACTTTGCAAGAGGAATATTGAAAAAGAAGAATACTTTGGTCAGTGCACTACGATAATATCCTGGTCTATTGGGATTAGCAGAAACAAAGATTCTGCTTATTTATTAATCCTATGATATTACGTAATATTATTGTAGCGAATTTATGAAATACCCTAAAATTTGAAAAATTGAACTACTAAGATGCATATAAATATAGATTTTGGCTAGATTTAATATTACTACTACGTATTAATATGATCTATTAATCTTTCAGGTGTCACTATAACAACATATAGTTTTTTTAAAAGTTGTATCGCTTGTGTTATTATATCTAGACCTCCAATTATAATACTATACATTCTTTTATATTTATGCTCTTGCTATGTAAGTGCTCTAAATTGATCAGCAATTTAGATATTATTAATTATTTTTTAAAAAAGTTATGATTCTGACTACGTAGTAATTTTTTGTCTATTTGATAGATAAGAAAATTTTCCTGGGCTAAGGTGCATCATTATAATAAATTTACATGTCTAATAAGGAAGAGGAAAATGAGAAAAATAGGTTAGGCATATTATTAGTCTAGATCAAAGATCCAAAAAAGATTTTTGGGGTCTTATCTACTATTGAACACAAAGATAAATTTGAAGTAAAATAGCAAAAAAAAAGTTAAACCAGATAAACTAGAGCTCAGATCTCTAATTTTTTCAATTTTTTTTATAAATAGTATAAGAATTACTCTAGGTAAATTTAGTGAATACGTATAGTCACATACATTATCATGTGGAGTTAACCTTAAAATATTATTTAGCTTTCAGAATTTGTTTTATTTTTTAAAAAAAGTAAGTATAAAAGTCTAAAGTTACTTCAACTAGTTGAAAACGCAATACTTTTAAGGAAAGTTGTATTTAGTATTGATTTATTAATATATGAAGATTTACTTTGGGGAACAAAATACTCGGATTTGATGACCAAATTTTAGCTAAGTTTTATAAATTCACTGTAATGTTTTAATTATTAATAATTAAAAATTTTAGTTGGCTAATTAGCCGATTCTTACTTGTGATTTTCTCTGTAGGCCATATTCACCCTTTGGGCTCCAATATTGCTTCACACTATTATTCGCATAAAGAGTGGCCTCATCTTGGGTAACAGAGATAATTTCAGCCTCACTAGAACCAAGGTTTGGTGAGATATGGTTTAAATTTTTACATTCATATCTGGATATTCGTTTTCATAACCTAGACATTTCCTGCAAAAAATCATTTTTGTACTCTACCACATCTTCACATTCATAACTGTCAAAATAAATCTTTTTCATATAGGTTTGGTATCTCTATTCAAGCAATTTTAGCCATCTACATATAGTTAACCTGCTAATAGTTTTGCTTACAACTCCAAAAGTGGGCATAATATGGCTAACATAACTTATAAAATTTCGAATAGATAATCTAAATTTATTTTTCTCCAAATATTGATTTATTTGACGTTGAAAATTTATATTATGTATCAATGATTTTGTTTTTATATATTGACTATGTTTTGACTTTATTAACTCTTTGTTATTTTCCATTGATTTGCCCAGGTACAAATACGCTGAGCATGCCATGGGCCTTTACCCAAACTTTTGGCTAGAAGTTTACTTGCTTTCATCTTCGCATACCTTTGATTCATAAGATGAAGAAATTGTCTTGTCGTATTGAGATTTATATCAATAGTTTTTGTTTTCAATTGTGCATTGAGTGATAATAATTTAGAATTATCATCATTGACACTACTGTTGAGTCTTATTCAATAAAGAAGATACTGTAGGCCGATTTTTGTTGATAAAATTAAGCGCTATAGGTTCGTAATTTTTGTGGGAAGCAGTATTGGTTACTGATTTATTTTTCTATTTTGCGACAGCAGCTTGTCGAGATTGTTTTGTGTATTTATTTGCCTTTGGCATTTTCATTTTATTTTATTTTTGGTATTTAATTTAAGGTATGTATACAAATCAAAAAAGTTAAAGAAAAAGTAATTTAATCTAACATGCACAGGTCGAATATATGAATAAAGGTTAAATAACAGAATATATCTTTATTGACCCGTTATTTACCCGATATACATATCGGAAAAGAATAATGGTAAACTAACAGATATCAGTATTAGGGTAAGATAAAAGATAGATTTTGGATACATAA